TTCAGAAGGTATCAAAATTTGTCAACTGATAAGTTATTCATCATAATATCACCAATATTTCATCAGTTGACAGTTTTTCGATATCTTTCATATGAATCGAGATAATTGAGCTCAAAGTGCGCGGCTTCCACTGGAGCAAGTACGGTATGGTGGAAAAAAATTGCATTTTGTGCAAACACCATCACGCGAAAGTGCGGACCGAAAATTGCTAATTTTTTTGACCGATATCACTGAAAGCTAGATATATCAAGTTAGGTCACGAACTTCTGTTTCAATACCAAATACGGTAGGTAATGCCTAGATGCCGAAACTATGTGTGTACATTGAGTTCAATTATCTNGACTCCAGATCCTTCCTCGCTTTCTCTCATTTGATGATTTTTTTTCAAAAATTTCCTACGTTTTTTGTGTGAATCACCTTCAATTTCCCAAAGTGCACCGAAAGAAAAATTTGAATTTCCGTTTCTCGAAAAAACGCAAATGTATGAATAATTGAGAGGAATAAATGTCCTGCCCCATTTCTCAGAAAATTGCACATTTTACGACCCAAATTTTCCTCTAAATTCAGAGAAAATGGACCAGAAGAAGTTCAGAGAACATAATTCACAGGTTTATCTGTTTTTAAAAGCATTCCCGATGAAAAACATTAAGTGGGTCAGATTTTTTCACAGAAAAAAAATTGTAAGAAATCAACAGAAAATCTCATTGCACATCCTTGGAAAGTCCACGATTCAATTTGTACACATGCATCGGTGGCGACTGTTTCTCTTCCACCATGACGCCAATCTGAAAATTCCAGAAATTGAGAATAAGAAAACTAGAAGACGTTGGGTTTTGGGATTCATTCATTAATAAGTTATGGGAGACATTGTGAGAATTAAAGAGAAGTGGAGAAAAGGGAAAATTAAATACAGAAGTTTTCAAAAAAGGCAGGAGGGAAATTTGAAATGATAATGATAAGAGAGTAAAAATTCAGTACATGTTTGTATCACAAGGAAAAGCAGAGGATTTTTTCGGTCATTAATTACATCAGATAGTCTAAGGGACAGTTTCAGAATACTGTAAAACCTGTAATAGGAGGGTCCCTAGCTTTCAACTTTGAGCTCAAATATCTCGATTTCTGTGAAAGATAGGAATATTTTGTCAACCGAAATAATGTTTATCCAAATATCAAAAATATTTTATCAGTTGACAAATTTTTGACACCTCTCACAGGGACCGAGATATATGGGTCTGAAGTTTGGGGCCACTCTATTAGAGTTCTTACGGTATAATTCTTTTTGATATTTTTTGAATAATCATAAAGTTAATTGTTTTTACTGAAACTGTTAAAAAGTAAGATACTTTTGTTGGGTACTGTATTTGAAAAGAATCAAGAGGATTACGGTAAAAACAGAGCTATAGGAAATACACTCCAATAAAAGGCCACCCTTGCACTTCAAGCTCAATTATCTACGTTCCTGTGAAAGATATCAGAAACTTATTAACTGATAAAATTTTGGTGATATTATGACAAACATTTTATCAGTTGACCACTTTTTGATATCTTCAAAAGAAATGAGATAAATGAGCTCAAGTAAACGGAGGCATTCTATTGGAGTCGTATGTTTTCTACCGTAATCCTCCTTTCTTATTCAAATCAAAAAGATCTCAATGCACCGCTTGCGGTGGTGGAGCACTTGTCAAATGATGTTGATGTCCGTTGGTCCCATTTGCATCTTCCTCCACAACCTTTTTCTTTCGAACCAATCTCCTTTTTGGTTTTTCAACTTCTTTAGCTTCTGTCTCCTTTGGTGGCTCCTCTTTTTTCCTCATTACAGTTCTTCGGATTACTGTAGTCGGCCTTGTCTCTTCTTTCTTTTCTCCTTCTATTTTCGTCGATTCCAACTGATTCAGAATCGAGTTTGGCTTCTTCGCAACAAGCTTCTGTACGTGTCGTCTCTCTGGTTTTTCTGGCTTTTCTGCAGTTGTCCCATTTTCAAAAAGCTTCTTATGCTCGTTATTCAATCGTTTCGGCTCTTTCTCCTTCTTCAAAAGTTGCTCCAACCTGTCATCCTCTTCTTTTTTGATCTCATCCTTTTTCTCCATTTCTCTGATTTTTTGAATCGAAAGTAACGGTTTCTTCTTTTCCTCTTTCTTCTCGATCTTCGCCATTCTTTGCTCCCAAATGTTTTTAGCTGTGATAGGCGGCCTTCTTACTTTAGCAGCTGCACCGTCAAGTATGGGTTTCGCAGTTGTGGCTGCTGCATTTCCAGATACATCAAGGATCGGAGCATATCCATCCAGGACGGGAGCAACTTTCGGTTCCCAATGTTTCTTCTCAACTTTAGCAGGAAGCTTATCATCTTCCTTTGGAGCTGGCTTAACCTCTTCTTTCTTCATGACTTCTGGTTTCTTCTGTTCCTCTTCCTTCTCCAACGACTCCTGTTTCTTTGGTTCCCACTGTCGTGTTGGCCTCTTCGCAACCTTCTGAAGCGTCGGAGTTTCTTCCTTCTTCATAAAAGTCTTGGGAATCGCCAGCTTCTTCGGTGGTTCCGGAGCAGGAGGTGGAGCAACCAGTTCCGTGTCCTCTTCAGATTCTCGACTTGCCCTTTGGAATGATAACTGCTTCATTAGAATCGTAGAATTTGGTGGAGCAGTGGCAACCACTGGAGCTGCTTTTGAAGCGGCAGAAGGTCTAGGTTCGGGAGATACCAAGGACTTTGGAGCGATGGGAATCTTAAATAGGGATTATGAATGATGGAAAAGTTTTAGGAACATGTATTCGTAACTGCAATCACATATAAAGTCGACGAAGGACAAATCTGAAAATCTGAAACCAACGACAGAAAGGACAAATTTTATATACAGTCGAATCGAAAAAATTTCAGTAAAGTTGTCAATAATTAGTTGAGATAGAAGGGAGATGGATAGGAATTATCACACACTGCAAACCGGGAAAAATATCATCACAGATAATATGGCTAGACATAAAGTACTATAAATTAGTCGAAAAAAATCCTTTCTGAATCTTCACTCCATGCGTTTCATTCAGAACACTGTCAAACGAACCTTTGGAGCAATTTTCTTGGCCTCCGGCTCTGCCTTTTTGGGCTCCGGTGCCAATTTTGGCTGAAATTTTGGAGTAGGGAAGATGGAACTGAATAAAACCTTACCACTGGATTTTTAGCAAGTTCCTCGGCTTCCAATCGCGCTTTTTGAGCAGCTTCTCGTCGTTTTATTCGTTCTATAAAAATCACATTTTTTTTGACTTAACTTTGAGCCATTTTATCTCAGTTCCTGTGGAAGATATGAAAAAGTTGTCAACAAATAAATTGTTTATCATAATATCATAAACATTTTATCAGTTGACACACGTTTGATATCTCTTATGGGAGCCGAGATAATTGAGATTAAACTTGACATCTACTAATACTCACTGAGCTCTCCATTTCGCAATGTTGCATTCTCCACCTTATGCCTTCCTTCGGGTAATCGGAAATTAATGGAAATTTTTGTGAGTCCATGATTCTTTACAATCGCATCAATGATTTCTTTTTCAGATTGCGTTGAGAATGAGACTCCTTGGTTTACTGCCTTGATCTCTTCAACCGATTCGTTGACAAGTGCGGCTTTGAAAAGTTTTGAAAAGAAGTCTCCTGAAACACTCAATTATTGACAATAGATGAATTGTTCAACTAACCACTCAAATAATTTGTCTCCAGGTTCACTTTTTTGATAGCCTGGTTCATTTCAATGACTGTGACAAGGACGTTGATATCATGATCGTATAGTCCCATGTTGGCCAGAGAAATTCTTTCACAGTGTTCGTTATAAGCCAATGCTTCTAGTAGCCGTTTGATGGCTGGGACAGGGGTTCTCTGAAATTTACAAAAACGGGATAACATATATTTTTGAGAAGTATCAATCGAATTTCTGAAACCAATCCTTCAATTTATATCTACTTTTTCAGTACCGCAGAGCTACCGTATTTTCTCTAATAGAAGCCCAACCAAACTGTCAATTTCGAGCTCAATTATCTCAGTTCCAATGAGAGCTATGAAAAATCTGTCAACACATGAAGTGTTTATCATGATATCACCAATATTTTATCAGTTAACAGATTTTTGATATCTCTTATAGGAACCGGGATAATTGAGCTCAAAGTGTGCGTCAAGAGCGGTGTTCTACATACCTTCATATTATTCAAATTGATTTCTTTCAACGATGGATCATTGTCGAGAAGTTTTTTAATACACTGATCGACATCCACTTCGTTATCTGGCTCTGTGGGTCTTGTCTGTTCTGGTAAGCTACATTTGATCTGAAATTGTGCTCAATTTTCAATATAAAAACCACTTTAACTCACTGGTGTCTGATCGGTCTCCATTAGAATGCGCTCAGCCTCATCCCACGAGACAATTCGATTCTCGTGCATTGCTTCTGGAAAATCGAAAGGTTTACTTTGGGTGGTGATTGAAAAAATGAAAAACTTTCAACAGTTTTCGTTGGAGAGTTGTGTACTTTGCAAGAGTCCGGGGAGAGAAGTACCAGAAATGTCGTTTTTTCTCACTTTTTTTGGAAAATATAGGAAACGACGGCACGAAAAAAAATGGTCAGACGAAATGGAGAGAGATGGAAACGAGAAGACTGTCGAGAGACAGAGACCGTTCAAAACGGTAATCCTATTGGTAAATATGAGGTGTTTTCTTGGAAATTCACAGTGAGTGTGTTGATTCGACGTTTTCTGCTCGTCTAGAGGACACAGAGAGGGAGCTAGTTGAAATGGGTTTTTTTCTCGATAGATTTGAAAATTAGTGAGGAATTTGAAAACTTCTACAGTAATTTTTTTCTCGGAATTGGTTAAGTTAGATGTATTTGAAAGGGAGAGTCCGACTAAACGTTTAAAATGTTTGAAAACTTACCGTCAGCACTCTCATAGAAGGCCCCCCAAACCGCCAACTTTGAGCTCATATATCTCGGTTCCTGTAAGAGGTATCAAAAAATAGTAAACTGATGAAATGTTTCTCATAATATTAAAAATACTTCATCAGTTGACAAATTTTAGATATCTTTCACAGGAACCGAGATAAATTGGCTCAAAGTTGAAAGTTTGGGGACCCTCCTATTAAAGGTTTTACGGTTTTTTTTCGATCTCAAAAATGATTGAAAATTTTGAAAAAACCCGATCCCGAAAAACGCTATTGACGATGAAAATTTTATATGCTAATAAGATGACGAAGAGGGACGTGGATTCGAACTCCCGCGCAGTAAAAACCCTAGGCCACGGTGGCAGGAAGTAGTGTTTTGAGTGGCGGTGATAAAAATCGGAGATTGTCCGGAAATAGAAAAGGTGGCCCGCCACCGTAGTCGGTTTTGTTGCGCGGGAATTCAAATGTTCGTACCTCCTCCATCTTTTTTTAAAAGGAGGCGAGACAGCAAATATTTCGGGGGACAGTTCGTGGGACGAAATCGCGCCGCGCTTATGTAGACCATCGGTCGGCAGGCGCCTTCGCGCCCCCGTAGCTCAGCCGGTAGCGGCGCTGTACCCCTGAGCTGCCTGTCATGAGTTCAACCCCTCATGGGGGTTCTCTATGCAAAATATCAGTAAAACTTTTCTTTTATGTCTGGCCTCCTTTAAAAGTATTGTTCGAGTAAAGTGTAATTTCCCGTATCCGATTACGGTTTGGTTAAAAATCCAATTGTATGAAGTCGTTTGTTCTACTTTGCATTTTCGAAATTTTGAAAATCGTCCAATTTTTGACAACTCGTTTTCTTATGATATAGTGTTCAGGACAGAAAAAATAATGAACTAGGAATTTCCAAAAACTCTGTAATACCTTGCTCATCCCACAAACCCGAAAAAAAACTCACTCAACAAATCATTAATTTCCCGTTCCTGAGCCTCGACACCCATCGATTCGATAGTGGCGATGAAATCCTGTAAGCCGATTTTTTAAATCCCAGAAAAATACATTTCGCAAAAATCCCCTCTTACCTCATCCGTCATCAAGTCTGATGACGCATTTGTGCGTAGCTGCTGGAGTTCTTCCTCCATCTGGATTCTGGAAAAAAATCTATAAGAAAAAATGTTTTGATTGGAACATAAATTGATTGAAAGTAAGAAAGAGAATAGATAAACCGTAGATCAAATCGGAAAAAGACTTCAGGTGAGTTTCGAAACAATGATTTCAGCAAAAATTAGGATCGAATTTCAAAGCACTATCCTGCACTAGAGTTCATTTTTCGAACTACACAAGCTCTTTTTTTTCAAAAATTTTCTGGAAAATCCAATAAATCATAAGTATAACAGATAGAAAAGAGTCAAGAGTTACGAAACTGATCACACTGAACTGCAAATCTCTGGAACAGCTGACACCCGCTTCTCTCTCTCTCTCTCTCTCTCTCTCTCTCTCTCTCTCTCTCTCTCTCTCTTCATGTCACATCACTTTGACCATTTCCCTTTGACTTTCAGTCTCCCTTATGACATTATTGATCCGTTTTTTGACACAAAAAAATCTTGGAGTTTTAAAAAATAACTTTTACTTTTTGTCTAGAGGAGCTAATAATACTGAAGAGATGAGGATATACAGAAAAAAACTAGAGAGAATTAGAGAAGCAGATATAGGTAAATACAGTTTTGCCAATATTTATATCTCATCTACCACATATATTTCGTGTGTGTTTTCCATGGAAATAGAGATCGAGAAGAAATGTAGAGATATTTGCGTTCATCTCGCTCTTTCTCTCTTTTCATGAGATTTTTGCAAATTTTACATGCGTGAATTGTTTTGAATGATGGAAGAATTGAATAAAAGATTTGAATGAAATAATGAAGTGAAGAGATCAAAAGTTCATCAAAACAGAAAATCAGACTTGATAATGCTGACGTTTCTGATGGAGGCCTAAGTACAAAATTATCGTATTTCCTCTAATAGAAGCCCACTTAAACTGTCAACATTAAGCTCAAAAAACTCTTCCTGTGAACGCTACCCAAAACTTAACAGTTATTTATCGAATCTACCTATATTTTATCACTTAAGAATATTTTTATATCTTTCACAAGTACCGAGATAAGTGAGTCCAAAGTTGGCGGTTTGAATGTGTGAGCTTCTATTCGAGGGAATACGGTATCTCAATTCCAAACTCTAATTTTGGCTAAAATCCTAATAATGCTTAAAATATAGTAATTTTTTGTTTTTTCAAAAAAAGTTGAAAAATCGAAAATAGCTCATTCCCAAGCTGTAGTAAATTTCTGTATTCTATATAACTGTGAAACCCGTCGTAGAAAGGCTTTCACATTGTCAACTTTGAGCTTAATTATCTCAGCTCTTTCAAAAGGTATCAAAATTTTGTCAATTGATAAATTACTTATCATGAAACCACCAATATTTTATCAGTTGGCAAACTTTTGATATCTTCCACAGGAGCTGACATAATTGAGTTCAAAGTTGGCGGTTTGAATGGGTGAGCTTCTTTTGAATTTGATTCCAAAACACCAGAAAACTAAAATATGCACAAAATCCTAATGAGGTCTAAAATAGAATAATTCTTTTGCATTTTCTAAATCGGTTGATAATTTTGAAATCGTTCAATCCTACTTAAGCTGAATGAACTTATCGAATTCAAAAGAATACCACAAACCCCGTAATAGAAGGACCTCCCTACTGCCTGATTTGAGCTCATATATCTCGGCTCCTCTAAGAGATATCAAAATTTTGTCAACTGATAAAATGTTTGCGATATTATGATTAACAATTCATCAATTGACAAATTTTTGATATCTCTCAGAGAAATTGAGATAATTGAGCCCAAAGTTAAACGTTAGAGGAGGCGTTCTATTAGAGTGTTTACAGTAATTTTCGCAATTTCAGAAACGATTGTTAAATTTGGAATCGTTTGTTTTTCAGCTATAAAAAATTGCGGAGTTCTAAGAATAATATTATTTCATTTGATTTTCGATTACCAAAAACAAAAACAATACAAAAACAGTGTGCAAAGTCACAATCACAAAGTAGTAAAAAACTCGAAAAAAATTGAATTGCAAATTTTTTATAATCCTCCTGAAAAGATAGAGATTCTAGAAACATTATTACTACACCACAAATCTGTTTCGAAAATAGGTAGTTGGAGGAAAACAAGAATAACGGTTGTTAGTACTTGTCGACATATTGTGAAAGGGCAATTAGAGGGAGGAGAATGGAAAGACACACCTTTTGGAATGAAGACGAAGAAGAAGGTGTTGGAGAATAAGAAAATAGAATGGCATGTACATATAATTAGAGGAAAAGAAGATGAGGAAAATCGAGAGAGAAGAGAGAGAGAGAAAAAGGAAAGTTTGGGAAATGAGAATCCCGAGAAGCGCGCCAACTGTGCCCCCTTCCATTCTACTTGAGTTCTGATCATTGTCCAGTATGTGTAAATAGGGAAATTCGGAAAAATGAGGAAGAATGAAAAAAGTTTACATAGATTTTCCAAGAGGTGAAGGTTTTAGGCACTGTAATACATATTAAACAATTGTTCGACGGACAAGTCAAAAGCGCGTTTTCAGTTGGCTTTCGGTCTGTTTCAGGAGCCCGGAGCTCGGCTTTTAAGTTTCCGATCACTATGAAAATTTTGGAGGGTGTGAAACAGACCTGGATTTAAAACTTTGCGTTCACAGAATTTTATGAAAAAATCCTAGTTTTTCATCTATTTACCGACTCCTGAACGACACCATTTTGGCCGCTTCTTGTGCTGAAAACGCGGAAAAAGCTAGTGTCTTTCAGAAATCGGCAAATAACGGAAAAAAACTGGAAACTTTTTTTAAATTCTGTAAATGCAAAGTTTTCAATCTATGTCTGTTTTACATTTTTCAAAATTTTCAAAGTTATTGGAGACTTGATAGCTAAGCTCCAGGCTCCGGAAAATCACCTAAAATTAACTAAAACACGCGCTTTTGTATATTTTCTTGATCAGTACTGTATCTCGGTTCCTGTGGAAGATACAAAAAACTGGTCAACTAATAAAATGTTTATCATAATACCAAAAATGTTTTGTCAGTTGACCACTTTATTGATATCTTTCACATTAACCGAGATGTATATTCTCAAAATTGACGTTTTGGGCTATTGGAGTGTTTACAGTAGTTTTCTACAATAACCAACGCTTTTAACTGAAGCAAAACTTCTAAATGAAAATACCTTAACAAAACTTTTCAAAAAAAAAATCAAGTATAAGCACATATTGCCTACGACACATGAAGAGCAAACATTTAGATGAGATAGAGAGAAAGAGTAACTAACTTTTCGAGATAACACAAAGCCGAGAGATCGGGGTTGAAAGATTGGAGTGGAAGGGAGGGATATTGTTAGACACCTTGACGTAGTAATGGACGGACGGCACCGGACTTAAGTGAAAATGAAAGACGATGAGTTTATTAAACTTGAAAGATGGCGGAGAGAACGACTTTCAGATGTTTTCGCGGTTTTTTTTTCAGAAAGGGGGGATAAAACGGTTTTTGTGGGAATTTCTAAAAAAACTGGGTCTGGTCTGGAACATATGGTGTTTGGTGGGTCGTTTTATGACGTGGAGAAGGGGAAAAACAAAAACAAAACGAGGTCATTAGGGTGATTCATGGATTTCAAAAGAGAGAAGGGATCCATGGATTTTGAGACTCATTTTGAGACTATCATGAAGGGGCCCCTTAATGTTTAACTTCGAAACAGTTCTCGATTCCTGGCCATGATATCAAAAAGTTGTCAACTGATAAATTATTCACCATAATATCACAAATATTTTATCAGTTGACACTTTTTCGATATCTTGCACAGGAACCGAGAAAAGTTAGTTCAAACTTGACAGTGGTTATTACAGGTTTTACGGCAATAAGGTTTGAGAGTTAGCTGTGCTGCGGCCGGCCGCCAAAAATAAATTCAATGTGTAGGATGAGAAACCACAGAGAACGTTCTATCAGATGGCTAAAAAAAATCAAAAAATCAAACTTTGCAGAAGCTCGACTCGCAATGAAAATAATATAAAAAGATATCTGAGCGCGATCAAAAATTAAAGCTCCGATCATGGTGTCAGTGTCAAGTAGTCGAGTCGAACACTTGAGTGAAATAAGCATCATATTATCAATAACTGGATAAGCCAGAGGGAGATAGTGAGAAAAGAAGCGCAAAAGTTGTGTCTTCCCGCAGGATGAAAGAGGATAGAGTAGAAGAAGCTTCTTGCGGGCGTGTTGGGTGTTCAGGTAGGATAAGGAGACACAGACAATGCAACAGATATTACACACATTCCTTTGGACAGAGAGAAGGCATCGGAGAATCGGACGGATGAGGTGAGGAGAAGAGAAGCAGAGACGTTCCTTCGAGTGTGTAGCAGAAGATGAATGTTACCGAGTTTCATTTTTGTAGCTGGGGTTTAGGGGTGAATTAGTTGGGTATGGTGGGGGAAATTGGTTGATTGGATGAACCTGTTTTCTTATAACATCCGGCCGATAAGATTAATATTTCAATCAGAAATGTTCACAGATTGTTTTTTTTTGTAAATAGCTTCATACACTGTTGACAAATTACAGGCATTTATCTCTCCTAATGAACTTCTTCAAGTTCAGTATTCGAATACAGTACCAGTCAATAAGATACCGTAAAACCAGTATTAGAAGGGCATGTCCTTCTATTGTTCCAAGGTACCTTCGTAGGGCCCTTCTATTAGAGGGGCTTTTCTATTTTTCTTCTTTTTAGTAGTCTGCAACCCGGATGTCAAAGTCCCGACCACGTGGAAAATTGTGGACTATTTTTAGGTTACGGTAGTTGTCTTTTTGGGTCTTTCATCCACGGTCATCGTCATTTTTCTATTACAGCTTTGGTTTTTTTGTACCAGTATAATATAACTTTTCTGATTTCTTTTTTTGTTGATTTTCTGAATAAAATAATTTTTTTTGTATTTTCGTAAATTTTTGATCCCTGAAAAAACTATATTTGGTTAACTTTTACACTCAGTTCTTTGTTCGACGAAAAAACAATCATAACTTTTTTGAAAAAGGATAATCTTTTCTGAGAGATTCAAAATTTTTATGAGCCTATTCCCATTTCCACCACAGACTTCAAAACCCGGAAATACAAAGAACCAATCAGATATCTGAAATCTCAAATGAACATCTTCATCATCTGACGATATGTTAAAAATATCAGTTCCGTCAAAATTTCGGATCATTTGAACCCTGGGGAGCTTCTCATAGACGTCCATTTCCAACCTTCTTGGGATTCTGGCAAACAAAATGTCTCTCTGATATCTTGCAACATCCTAGCTTAATCTTTTTATCCTCATCAAACTCCAAACTTTCAGTTCATATGAAAATTTGAATATACTTGCAGAGGAAACCAAAAACTCATGAATATTAATTTGTTGTTTTAAATTTTGTGTAGGTGTTGGTTTTTTGTTTCTGAATGTTTCGAGGGTAGATCAATACTTCAAAGATCAAGGAAAGAAAATTATGAAAGACGTGCTCATTGTTCAGATGATGACGATAATTGGAAGGTGTATTCTGTTTAGAGAGGAGAAACTAACTGGATATCAAAAAATTGGACTCTGAAAAATTCTCGGAAAGTATTCGAATGATCTGGAAATGGATTAATGTCTTTTTTTGAGATTAGAGGTGTCTTAAACGGTACAAAAAATCCCGTTTCCGATGAAGGGCTGGTGGTCCGGTGAATAGTTAGAACTCTATCTCCTGGCCCAGGATTCACGGATACATCGAAAAAGGGTACATCGAAAGTACGTCGAGATCTTAGGGTACATTGGTTCATGTGGTGCATAGGATCTTGGGGTACAGGTCGTTTCAGCCTAAGCCTATGATTTTGAACAGGGACCAAAATAATCTGTGAATGAGTATTTTGTTCTTTGTTCGTCATTCCACACGTGCCACAAAATACAAGGCACCCTTGGAACCAATGTACCCTAAGAAGTCGATGTACCCTTTTTCGATGTACCCTTGGATACTGTGCCCACCCACCTTGGCGATGATGAGTGCAGCCTTACTAGATACATATGTACCTGTTTACATTGGCATATTTTCCAATCTACCGTATTTCCTTTAGTAGAAGTCTACTCCAAACTATTTACTTTGAGTTGAACTATTTCTATGAAAGATATCGAAATTTGTTAAGCATTTCTATTATTCCAAGGTACCTCCGGAGGGCCCTTCTATTCTTCCAGCCATTTTATCTGAAATTTTTCATCGAAAAGTTCATTGAATTTCCGTTCAAAATCAGTGGAAATCTATAAGTTCTACTGAAATGGATTTTTTTAAACTGAAATTTATGATTTTCCTGAATATTTTTCACTGAAAACGTACGGAACTTTTGAATTTTGAACAACACATTTTGGAGAAGGCCCTTCTATTAAATAAGCCCTTCTAATACAGGTTTTACGGTGATTGAACTCAACGTTGATGGTTTGGATTGGGAGGAAATACCGTAATCATAACGTCGCTCTTGTCTCAGCGGCTTCCCACGACTTCCCTATTCTTATCAAGTTGGACCGTTTTGTGAAAAAGACAATTGAAGAAATACAATACAACACACTTTCTTTAAATCATCAAAATTTTTATTCCAAGAAAATTAATCAAAACCAACAATGAACTTGGCGAACCCAAAGTTAACTTTGATAACATTAACAATCATCTTGTATAGACGGACCAATTCTTCCCATACTCCCGAGACGACTTTGTTGACAAGCATTGGACGATAGGCGCATTGGATATAGGTTATCTCCGAGTTTTCTTCCGACAGCCATACTCCAGTGAGCTGATTGCAACGAATACTGTACTTGTCAGCAAGATCATAGCGGCGGACAGTTGAGAAGTTCTGAAAAAATTAAAATTTTCGTAAAATAGTCTATATGAAACTTACGGCTCCGTTTGTGTAATAAACGGATGAACGGTGTCTTGTGAATCTTGGATATTTGCAAGTGATGGTGACTGAAGTGCAGTTGTCTCCATAGTCAATATCCAACGAAGCAAACATGGGGATGTCCTTAGTTGATCCTCTCATCTGCCCGTATACTTCTGCGTCGACTTGTTTCAACATTGGACATTTACACATTCGAGAATCCGATCCACTTTCAGCCAACACATTTGCAGTGAGCATCAAGATCAGGATCAAAGTAGAACTCATTTTCTGTTCTCTATTGTTTCACTGATACCGAAATAACCACATCAGCTTCGATAAAGAGATTTGAGAGGCGCAGAGAGATTCTTTTTAATTTTGCAAAAAGAGGAGGATTCTCATTATTCATGTGGCTTAATTATCATATTGTTGAAGCCGGAAAAGTGAATTTAAGGGATCGAATCCAGTGGAAAATCACTTCAACAATGGGTTTGAAAGTGTTCCTTCTCTTTGCGCTATTGGCGCAGGTTGATGCTGCTTGTGGGCCTGCACCCACCGCACCACCTACAGTGAGTAAAGCTTCGCCGTTTCAAATTGAGATTAAGGTTATTTCAGCCGATGTCTACGACTTCGATCGAGTCCACCACCACTATACCCATTTCCACGACAACTTTTGAACCTTCGACAACAACGATGGCACCTTCTACAACCACCACAGAACCTTCCACCACCACCATGGAATCTTCCACCATCACTACCATAGAACCGTCCACCACAACTACTGAAGCTTCCACCTCAACTACTGAACCTTCCACCACAACTACTGAAACTCCTACCACCACCACCATGGAACCTTCTACCACAAGTACTGAAGCTCCTACCACCACCACCATGGAACCTTCCACCACAACTACTGAAGCTCCTACCACCACCACCACGGAGCCTTCCACCACAACTACTGAAGCACCTACCACCACCACCACGGAGCCTTCCACCACAACTACTGAAGCTCCTACCACCACCACCATGGAACATTCCACCACAACTACTGAAGCTCCGACTACCACCACCATGGAACCTTCCACCACAACTACTGAAGCTCCTACCACCACCACCATGGAACCTTCCACCACAACTACTGAAGCTCCTACCACCACCACCATGGAACCTTCTACCACAACTACTGAAGCTCCTCCTACCACCACCACCACGGAGCCTTCCACCACAACTACTGAAGCTCCTACCACCACCACCATGGAACCTTCTACCACAACTACTGAAGCTCCTCCTACCACCACCACCACGGAGCCTTCCACCACAACTACTGAAGCTCCTACCACCACCACCATGGAACCTTCTACCACAACTACTGAAGCTCCTCCTACCACCACCACCACGGAGCCTTCCACCACAACTACTGAAGCTACTACCACCACCACCATGGAACCTTCTACCACAACTACTGAAGCTCCTCCTACCACCACCACCACGGAGCCTTCCACCACAACTACTGAAGCTCCTACCACCACCACCATGGAACCTTCCACCACAACTACTGAAGCTCCTACCACCACCACCATGGAACCTTCCACCACAACTACTGAAGCTCCTACCACCACCACCATGGAACCTTCCACCACAACTACTGAAGCTCCTACCACCACCACCATGAAACCTTCTACCACAACTACTGAAGCTCCTCCTACCACCACCACCACGGAGCCTTCCACCACAACTACTGAAGCTCGTACCACCACCACCATGGAACCTTCCACCACAACTACTGAAGCTCCTACCACCACCACCACGGAGCCTTCCACCACAACTACTGAAGCTCCGACCACCACCACGGAGCCTTCCACCACAACTACTGAACTTTCTACCACAACGGTGGAACCGACAACCACAGGTATGTTGCGAAGAACAGATTTTTAAAGAAGAGGGGAAGAGATTTTTAGGGGTGAGTGAGATTTTTTTTTAGTTGAGATTTGCATTCATTTGACGTGATGGTGCATAGTGTTCACACAGCGCTTCGCTATCGTGTAACTTCTATAGCGGCGCGGCACCTCCAGCGATGGGCCCACAAGTATAACTGCTTTTATCAACTGTTTCGTTTTACTTTTGGTGGTGATGCAATCTATACCAATTCAAACCAATTCGAGACGAAAATCTGAAACCAAATTCGGTGTCGAAAATCCTTTCAGAAGTGAGATATGATGAAAAATTAGTTTCTAGTTCACCAGCCGACGCGCAAATTACACAAAAGATTGTAATTCCAGCAGCTTTTTATATTCAAAAAATATATTCTAGAAATAAAGCACGTCGTCTCTCGAACTAGAAAACTTATTGTTCCATCACACCTTAGTTTTGCAAAAGGGCTTTTTTTCGGTGATTATTTTCTGGATATGGAAGTTTTCGATTCTAATCTTAATCATCATTAAGAAATCAACAAGAAAATAACCACGGATTTAAAACGGATAAATCAATAAAAAAGATGATGCCTTCAACTTTTCAGCTTGTCCCTGCTCCATACTACCCACCTTTCTCCCATTCACTAACGATAAATATACGGATGAATGGTGGTCCAATTTAAAAGCGGAAACCCAATCATCTTTCAATAGCAGTTTCTTTGTGGACGCAGTAAGGATGAGAAGTAATTTCCAACCAGATGGTTGTTCAGTATATATTTCTTGTCTCATCTATGTCAATGTAGAAACAACCTTCGTCCAAGCTAAAGCTTTTCTAATCAATGCGGACGACCAGGTAGAACTGATTTCAGTATCCGAATGTGGACTTTTTTTTAAGATATACAATTCTACTCATTATGCGGGCGACGACTTGAGGATCCTTTTGGATTGCAACCGTGACGGTCAATACACAAATAAGGGAGTGCCATTTGACTTGCAAGTAGCTGGTTGCATGTCCGTTGTTTATAATCAACCACTTTGAAAATTGTTTGTTTTCATATTCTATGAATGATTGAAGTTTAATAAAAGCAACTGTTTATCAAATTTTTGGGACTCGGAAAATGTTTGAGTTTGGAGTGGTTTTAAAAGCTAAAAGCTGACAGGATGATGAGGGGGGGGGGGGGTCCGTACCTTTTTTTGGAGGGTCAGTCACAGTGAAAACCGGTTCCAGCAGTTATTGGATTTGGTAAGAGGAAAGATGGAAAACAACAATTTTATTCAGCAATTAAAAACAGAATAACTAGGAAAACTGCAATCCAGGCACGCCACATAAGACCGTATTAACGACTCCGGGACCCGTGCCTCTTTGGGAAACAACTTCCAGTGTGGCAGGCGTGTCTGGGTCTGAGCCTACGAACGCGGCAATTTTTCCGTTTGGGTCTCTTACTGTTGGCTGTGGATCAATGTTCGGATCAGCTTGACCATCGCTCCAGTACCATCTTTCGCTTGTAGCATTGTAATCAGATTTGACCCAAAAACCAGAGATGGGGTAAGACGCAAGAGAAAGACGCCGTACTACTGAAATGATTGTTGGGGAGGGCGTGATGGGGTTCGAGAGTTTTCATATTAAAAGTGAATTCTGGACTGGTTGAACTAGTAGCAGCGTTATATGTCGCACAGCTACTGCCTTGGCTATACAATCGGTAAGTCCCTACTATCTATACTTTCAATCCGGCCATATTCTCGGTTCTCCATCTTTTATTCAGGGAGGCACGTGTAAAAAGGGGACATATGGAAATATTAGTTTGGAAAGAAACTGAGCTTTCCACTTTGTTTGTAGTAAACTATCCATCTGTTTGCCAAGCCTCCTGGCTCCCGTTTACAATACCCGTCATCTTTTTGAAGTTTCATTTTTTATAAGCTTAGAAACTGTGATGAAGTGAATAACTCATAAAAAACTTCTGAAATTCAAAAGTTCTCTAAATCCCAAATTCACACAATCTCAAGGAAAAAATTTGGAAATTCAAAAAAAAAAACTGCCTCTAAATTTTATTGTTTTTCCAAACTTCAAAACTCTGACTAAAAACTGCACAAAAATGCAAAAAAAACATCTTTAACTTTATCTAAAATTCAGGTTTGTTCGAAATTCAAAGTTTCAGAAATCAGAAAATTTTTTATTAAAAGTACTTGAAAAATCTGAAGTTCAGAATGTCTGTAAGTCCAAATTTGAAAATTCGGAAATTCAAAACGGTATTCCGAATTCAAATTTTTTCATTTTCGGAATTTTAAAACTTTTTTATATCCGATTTTCCGAATTTCGGTTTTCGGATATTCAGAAATTCTGAGTTTCCGAATTTCCTAACTTCGAAACTTTGAAATGACTAAATTTCTGATCTTCCGAATAATTTTAGTTCTGAATTTTCGTATTTTGGTAACATCCGGTTTTTCGAATTTTAGAATCTGATATTGAGAAACTCTACATTTCGAAATTGCCAAACTTCCGGATTTTGCCAAACTGCCAAACTTCCGGACTTTCTGGTTTTTAGTGTTTTTTACCTTCACCACAGTTTCATGGCATAAACATTTTCATAAGATGGCTAGTATTTTAAAAGGGCAGCCAGGAGGTTTAGCCCCGAACGGGCGTTAGACGACTGGTTTCATATAATTTTTTCAAATTAAAAAAAAATTAGCTAATCGGGTGGGCCAGGTCATAAAAATCCTGAAAAAAACCCGGCCCTTGCAAATATGCTTTTAGCCAATGGTGTTTGGTAAAATTCATTCAAAAACTTACAGTTTGCCCAAAGTATAGATTCTGCTTCAGTTTCCAAGCTAGCCATCTCAGCTCCAAGCAAACTGCATTGCTCGACCCCTTCACTATATGGCAATGGTACAACATCACGAGAAGTAGGCTGATTGAACTGAAATTACGGAAATTCTTATACAGTGCGTCCAATAATTATAGGACCCCCTCGATTTCGAGGGTTCTGAAAAAACTAAAAATGATATCAAAATTTGTAAACGCCATTCGATTCAAAATACAAAATAACTTAAATTACAGTTTTGCTTAAATTACAAACAACGGCTCAGAATGATCTAAAAACAATTACTGGGCAATCCAGACCACTGTAAAAAGAGTTACTATCAATTTCAGGGCAAAATGTTACCCAGGACCAAAGTTATTTGTTTCGAAAACTCAAAAAATGACGAAAATCTCTGAAAATAATTTTTTCTAAAACTCGAAGAGAGGGTTCAACTATTGTTTAAACGATCAAAATATAATGTTTTAAAACTATTGTAACAGTTTCCAACAGAAAACGTCCAATTTCGTTGCCTAAAAACTTTACATTTTTCATTTTTCTGGGGGTCCTATAATTATTAGACGCCTACAGGAGAGTATTTTTGTTAGTACGGGAGTGTAAAAAGAGGTAGAGACATGAAAAATTGTAGCGGGGGTTATATTGTATTTTGAATTGAATGGCGTTCACAGAATTTGGAATGTCATAATGTGGAATGCCATAACTGCCAATGTACCCCGATTCCTCACCCCGTCCTCACCCCGTTCATCTATTTCTCGCTACTAGCTGTAATCCTTATTTTTAACACATATATTTTACTGTATATAATTCTTCCCGTTTTCCATTATTTGTTTCTTTTTACTTATTAGGCGCTCCTCGTGAAGGGGGCTGCCTTTTTCTTATGTACCGTTTGTCACCGCTCTGAAAATAAATAAATCTAAATCTAACTTCGATATTATTTTCAGTTTTGTTCAGAACCCTCAAAACCGAACGCACTGTACAGGGTGGTCCAAAATTATGGTAACATATTCAGAATTCCCGAAAATACTCGGATAGACATGTAAATTTGTCAATAGTTTACTGAATACTTTCCTAAAAGGAAATTATAAAAGTTTTTAGATGCGATCGCCTTCGTTCTTCACAAAATACATGATTCTCTTTGGGAACGCATTTACCGTGACACGGGAGTGTTTTGGGGATAACTTTGCCCATTTCAAGTCCGAATTTCTCTCCAATGACTTTAAATTAGTTTGTGGACATGCTCGGGTTCTTGACTGAAAAATTTCATACACGGAATAGTCAAGCAGACGAAAGTAGAATCCTGTTGAACACTCCAAACATGGTTGCTAAGATAGAATTAGGTCCACGGAAGCACATGCCACTCAGAAATCTCCTCTTACTACTACTAGTCGATTTTCACCCTAAGATCTACAAAAATCGGAATTCGGAGGTTGTTTTTATTGTCTATTAAAAAGTTCTGGTATTACGAATGTGGTGAGCAACGGGTAGGAAAAGATGCATCGCGTTCGCAAGCGGAATGGGAGCAGGGCGAATGATGGTTATGGTCCACAACCTTATCAACTTCTATACCATATTTTGTTACGATATTTTTCTTACTCAGTTAAAAGAAAACATGAAAAACAAAAAAAGGAATGCTGCCAACCTAATAGGTATAAAATCATTGCGATAAAAATGATCCAGCGCTTACCAGCTAGCACTAAACTTGTATTACAATACTTTTGCACCACCCTGTAGTTAGTGAGATTATAAAAAAAAACTTGAAAGCAAAGTTTGTGTGCATTATTGCATAACAACTCTTCTTTGTTTTTGGGATGAGGGTGGTAATACACGAACAAGAAACGGACTAATCAAACCACTCACAATTGAGAAAAAAACACTTACAAAGGCGCACCAATAACCATTTTTCCTTATGATGGGAGTATAACGGTTATCGTCGGTAGGGCAAACTGCCAGCGTGGTTGTAGATGTAGGAGTAGTCTGTGTAGTCGTACTAGTTCTAGTAGTAGAAGTCGATTGTGTTGTAGCCTTTTGAGACGTAGAAGGAGTTGTTGGTACGGTTGTGGGAGGAGTTGATGGTTCTTCTTCTTCGTCACACGGATCAGTTTCATGATGCTCTGAAAATCCTCATGTTTGAATATTCGATTCTAATAAGCCCGGGGCTTTAATGTGGCCATTCTATAAACTAATTCAATAATCCACCCCTTGCTTGTATTTGAACTACGTGCTTTAGTATTCCGGAATCTTCTAATGACCGAAATAACCGACAAGAAAAAAAAAACCAACTATTTTTCTCAGGAATTTCAAAAAGTCTTAGATCCAAGGTTCCAAAATGATCCAAAGTTCAGGCATAAGCTGTTCAAAATTTTTCCTCACCACATGAACAGTCATCGTAATTTTGGATTCGCATTGGGCGCATCATAGCATTTGCCACGACAACTGCAGCAAATAAAATTACTGCAGTTTTAATCATGGTTTCAGGCTGAATTGTGACAACAGAACGGAGTTTTTCCCGTTTTATAGAAACCGAAACGATTAAAAGATCCCCGAAGCAGGGTACTCAAAGATTTTCCTGTAAAGGCCCCCGATTTTATTGCAAAAATGGAAAAGCGCATGTTTCGTTTCGTTTTTCATGGAAATTGATCGAAAGAATTTTTGAACAGTTTTGATAGGCTCCCAACCAAAAAATCCCTTAAAGGAGGCCAGACATGAAAATTTTCAAAAGTCTAGTTTTTTGATATATGACACCGTACAGTCAGAAAATAACAAGGGACACCAAACCATAACTCCCTGTTATTGTAGAAGCTAAAACGCGACCGTTCTTCCAAGCGGCACCCACTCCTCGTTTCATAATCGTTTTAGCAGCAAAAGCCGAAAAGCCCTGTGGGGTGTAGAGGTGAGCGCGCTTGTCTATCAGTCGTGCATCGCGGGTTCAACTTCCAGATGTCCGTTTTCGTTTTTTTTTCTGTTTTCATGCGGCGACATCTTGGAATGACCGAATAACTAAAAAAAGTCGGGAATAGTTGCCTAACATTGAAGAAATTTAGTGTATACTAAAAAAAAATAAATGCTCGTCAAATAGCGCGCATCGGGTCGCAATCGCGCGATTTTCCGTCAGAATACATGATCTCGCCCCGAAAAAACCCCGTAGACTTTCGTGTCTGGCCTCCTTTAACCAACTTAAAAAAAAAGTCATTGAATATGAAAAAAGTTACCAATAAATCAAGAGCCAATTCAGTACTTTACCTAATGCTGATCTTACCTGAACCATTTGTAGCCAAAATTACTGAAGCGAAGAAAATTCATTTCTAAGTGATTATTTTGATCAAGAAAAACTTAAGAGGCACCATCGTTGTGGTTGTGGGAGGAATCGACGATTTTACTTCTTTACCACACTGGTCAGTTTCCTGGTTTTCTGGAAATGGCTTTGGTATAATTATTCTAGAAAACGCAATCATCAACAAGTTCTACTAAAATTACCAGAAATTGCCAGAAATCTTCATTTTCTTACTAAGGTTCTATTTATTGCACATCAACTCAAAAAAAATGTTGTCCCTCTCTTCTTTAACGATCACTTCTGCGCAATGTACATACCTGTGGTTGTCGCGTCTATCGTTGTGGTTGTGGGAGGAGTCGACGATTTTTCTTCTTTACCACACTGATCAGTGTCCTGGTTTTCTGGAAATATCTTTGGTGAAATTATTCTGAAAAATAGAATCATCGACAAGTTACTAAAATTACTGATATACCAAAAATATTAATTTTCTTACTAAGGTTTCATTTATTGCATAGTTGCAAAATCTCGGGCCGGCCAGCTGGTCGGCCCGTCGAGAATTTTGGCGGGCCGGAAA